CCCCAAAACCCCAAAACCCCAAAACCCCATAATATAAGATTTTCGGCAAGATCAAAAGAGTTTTGTTTATTAAATTAAAGGCTTATTAATTTTATCAAAGTTATTTAGCAATGTTATTATTATTTGGGGACATGAGGTAGGACTTAGATATTCTTCTATGGTTATTATGATTTGACATAGTTATTTTACTTAAGTCAAAGCTCTTGTCACTAGATTTTCTTGATTTAAAAATTTCCTGTCTATTCTATAGCATAGAATGACTCGTAGTCCTCGTACTGAATTATTAGTTAGACCATCTTACACCGAATTAGCTTCCATCATTACTTTTTAAACTTTTGATATTTAATTCTGATCTATTAACATCCAACCTCAAATTGACGCTAGGAAGTCCAGATGTGTAATCTTAAATTGACTGCGCTGCTTCTGATCTTAATTCTCCGAGATCTTTAGGTTTAATGACTGCTACTGAACTTTAATGTACATCCTTTAGGGGTCTAAGAACAGATCCTTGTGAAGTTTACCTGCAATTTTAAATTATTTACTGATATCTATGGATTCTTGATTTTGACATCTAGACCTGTTTTTGTCGTATTTAATCATAAACCGATTGACTTTCATGTGCATGCTGATAATCTGAGATATATTATTGAAGTAGACTGTTGTATTAACTCATTTAAATTATCGACTAAGTTCGTTCAGTGTCTGTCTCACTGAATGTTCCTTGACTATTAAGATGGATAGAAGAATGAGAGCCCTCAGAATCATCCATCGATTTTTTATTATTCACTGGTGATTTCTGAGTCTTTCTCTTTTTGAATTTCGAAGGCATATTAATGTTCTCCACTTTACCAACACTTCCATTTTCGCTAGATTTTTCAATGATATCATCATTACTTCCGATATTACGTTTGAGCATAAAACTTCCATTGTTTACATAGTTTGAAGTGCTTCCATGCAAGTTTAAACCTTCATTTGTTTGGTTGTTACTGTAGTTTTATTCGGAGGATCTTTCTCTGAGTTTTGAGGATTTACTTTTACAACTAAGCATTTCAAAATTAATCTATTGGGGAGACAGGAAATTAAGATTATTTTTGGGAGATCTCATCATCTTTTACTTCTAGTTATTCTGTAGCAATTCCAATGCATTAAGTTGATTTTTAGCATTCTAAAATAAATAAGATATGAGTAAAGTATTCTAATTAAATAGGGAAAAGCAATAAATACAATAAAAAATTTTGAAACTTACAAATGCAAATATCCCCTCACTCATTCTTCGCTGTCGGTTTGCCTGATTTTTTAGATTAGTAATTTCATTAACAATTTCAAGCTAAGCTTAGGGGTTTTGAGGAGCTTTTTTTAATAAAGGTGTCTCTTCTTCGTTCTCGTTCTCATTAATTTTATTTATTTAATCCTCTCTTTTAAAATCTTACTTTATTTTCTAAAACCCTGAAAAAATTCCATCTTTATATATTCCTGATTTAGGAGAGGTATCCAATGCTGAATATCTAGAAGTGAACTGCCTTGAGAAACTTGTTAAATTACCTCGCTTAACTTGATTAGAGCTCATATGTCTGCTTATTATGACTCTAGGTTTTTTCAATTTTGTTACTCTTTTTTCTTTGTGTGGAGCAATTACCTGATATTAATCCTCCTTTAACTTTATACAATAGAAAGGCAAGTTATTAGAGATCTTCTTAATGCTTTTCTGAATTTCATTTTTGTCTACTGAATTAGTCATACTTTACATTGTTTCAACATATTGGATAAGCCTTTTAAAATCTTCTTTAAATGGTGATGATATAGCTTATTGCATTTTACGCCATCTTATTACTTCTTCGTTATAGGTTAATGGAGGATAACCAAATATGGGAGTATCATGAAAGAGTTAATCTTTATCGTAATGCATATCTTTAATTTTTACTTAACCTGTCTTGGGATCTATTTGCATGATTTCATTTGAGAACGAAACATGCTGTTTTTGCTTTGACTTACGAATTTGCATTGGAGAGACATTACAAATAAGAATTTTTTCTTAAACCTGAGGAGGATTAGTCGATTTCTTCTTTGATAATTGCCAAGTCTCTTTCCTAGCACGTGAATGTTTATTAGGAGAACTACAGCCTGAAATAAAAGTCTATCCCAGGTTACTCTATGAATATTTCTATAATTCCATATTGATTGGTTAGATGTATTTTTATTATTAGTAATTTTTACTGAATAGCTTGTAAGTATTTTAAATAAGGAATTTTATCACCCAGTAATAAACTGGGATCTCATTGTAATTTAATATATATCATTTTACTTTAAATAGTATTCATCTGCATACTTTCATTAAATTATTTTACTCATGGGGTTTTGGGGTTTTGGGG